GGATATTCTTCAAAGAAAGCTAATGGTGTTTGTCTGGTGGTCCAGTGCTGATGTTATCCACTACGGCTTCATGAAACCTAGTCAGTCACACAGTGGATGTCTACTGCACCCAATTGGATGAAATGATGAGGGTGCTTGTGATTAAGCAGCTGAGATTGGTCTATAGAGACAGGCCAATCCTCTTGTAAGACAACACTCAGCCACATGTCACACAAACAGTGTTGCCCAAACTACAGAGGCTGAACTTAGAAACTCTGTCATCCAGTGTATTCACCAGACCTTACACCAACAGAGTACCGCTTCTTCCAGGCTTTGGACTATTTCTTGTGAGAAAAAATATTCAATTCTCAACAAGCTGTGGAAAACGCCTCTCACTAGGTCACTGCCACTTGCTCTCCAGGCTTCTTTGCTGCCGGTAAAAAAAGCTACTGTTAAGATGGGAAAACTGTGTTGGTAGATTAGGCATACACTTTGATTAATTGTACTGCTTCTTCTTTGAGATATAATAAACTAATCTTTTGATTTGAAATCGGACATTTCCTATTTAATGACCTGATACTTCTTTTGTAGCAAGTGATGTTACCTTTTTTTTTTTTAGCGCAAAGATAGAGGCCATTTCGCAGGGGCTTCTTCAACTTTTCTCTTTTATATCTTGAATTTATTCTCTGTTAATACTTGTTTTTCTGATTTTGTTTTTACTGAAGAATGTTTGTCTATATAGTGAGTTTGTCTATATAGTGAGTGTTTCTGTTATCTTTGTTCTTGGACCCAGCCAATCTCACCTCTCAGTTTTCTTGGTTAATTATCACTTTTTCATGTTCTATCTAGCCAATCCCTGCCCCACTTTTAGAAGGTAATTTTATTTCCTATTTTTAGATATAATGGAAGTTATCAGAAATGGGCACCCTCAACTTTTCCCTATTTCTACCATCCCACCCACAAATAATATGTATCTGCTAAAGCCAGTCTCTTTCCTTGCTGTAAATCCATCCTCTTTTCTAAACCACTGCTGCTCAGTAGAATTTTCTGTAATAATGAAATTGTTCTGTATTGGTGCTATCTGGTACGGTCAGTCATTACCCATATATGGCTATTGAGTACTTGAAATGTAGTTACTGTGACTGAGGAACTAAATTTATTTTAATTAATTTAAATTTAAGTAACCACATGCTATTGTGGCTATCATATTGAACAGTGTAGCTCTAGACCTTACTACGTATTATGTTTCTGTTATTTCTTGTTTCTTGAGTCTCTTTGGCCACACTTGTCTTCTCTTCCACATTTAAATTGTTTCAGTCTTTCTCATCTTGAACACTTGGAATACATTTATAACTCTTTGCCATTTCTTTTTAGTTGTCTCTTGTCTGCTGTCTACCCCCTTCGTGGCAGTTTGATTCCTGTGACTTTAGTTCTTATCCTGTCACTTAAAAGGGCTCTCTCATAGTGATGTCTCCAAGTATTCTCAGCTGCAGAATCCAGTAGATACTTTATCTTTCCAGAATTGATTGTTGATTGCCCTCTGCTTCTTGAAATTCTTGTGAGTTGTTTTTTTTTTCATCTCAGACTGCTCTTTTTTGGTCTCCATTTTTTTCTCTGATGCTCCTTCATCCCATTTCTTTTCTCCTCTCACTTTTCAACCCTTTTCTATATATTCCACCTTCTCACTGAGTGCTATCAGTTATCACCTGCATGCTCATATCTTTTAACTCTATCTTTAGTCTGTTCCTCTCTTTTAAGTTCTAAACTACAATGTCCAAGTTACCATTGATATTTCTTACAGAATATTCCAAAGGCATTACAGTCCTACTCCATATTTATTCATTAATTTAAATTTAAATTTAACTCTCATTAAAATATACATATGGAAAAGTGTACAGATTATAAGGGTACACCTTAATTCCACACAGCTAACATCCATGAAACTACCATCCAGGTCATGAAAAAGAACATTACCAGCACTTCAGAATTCCCTTTACAATTCACTACCTCTTCCTTCCTCCCCAAAGGTAAGCATTGTCTTAACATAACAATACAGAACTATATTTGAACATTACTTAAATAAAATCATACAGTATGTATTCTTTTGTGTCTGTTCTTTTAAGTATTGCTGGTAACATTCATCCATGTTATTGACTATTATTTGTTTATTTTGTGTTTAACATTCTGTTGTATGGATATATCACAATTTATCTGTTCATCCATCACTAATTATGTGGGTAATTTTTGAATAAAATTTGTTATTATGAATAATGCTGTTCCGAACATTTTTGTGTATGTTTTACTGTATGTGTGTATGTACTTAAATTGGATATATAACTAGGAATGGAAGTACTGGATCATGTGGTATGCATATGTTATATTAGTTTTCAAAGTAGTCTTTTGTCAATTTATATTTATATTCCTGTTAGCAGTACATGAGTTGTTTCATTTTCTTATCAACATTTAATGTTGCCAGTCTTGCCCAGGCTCAGTGACGTGTAATCCCAGCATTTTGGGAGGCCGAGGCAGGAGGATTACTTGAGGCCTGGAGTTTGAGATCAACTTGGGAAAGATAGCAAAACCTTGTCTCTACCAAAAATTTTTTAAAAATTAGGCGGGCATGGCCGCATGCACCTGTCGTCCCAGCTACTGGGGAGGTTAAGGTGGGAGGGATCGCTTGAGCCCAAGAGCCCGAGGTTACAGAGAGCTATGATCACACCAATGCACTCCAGTCTGGGTGATAGAGTGAGTCCCTGTCTCTAAAAAGAAAAAAATACCAGGCTCCATAATTGTAGCTATTCTTGAAGATCTGTTTCCTTGGTGATTAATGATATTGAACATCTTTTCCTACGTGTATTGGCCATTCATGTTATTCATGCATTTTCTGTGGAGAACTACCTATGGCAGTCTTTATGGTCTTTTCTATTGTGTTGTCTGCTTTTTCCTTGCTGTGATGTAAGAGTTCTTTATATACTCTGGTTATGAGCTTTTTGTTGGTTAAACATACTGTCAACATCTTAGGTTTTATGGCTTGCCTTTTCATTTTCTTAATGGTGTCTTCCTAGTCTTCCATCTTCCTTACTTTCCTTTCCACTCCAAGTCAATTAGCCATCAGGTCCTGTCAATTTTTTCTTTTAAATATCCGTTTATCTTCTTTTCTCCATTCCTTTGGCCAGTACCTTAATACAGGCCCTCACGACTCATGGCTTGGATTATAGATCATGTCCCTTCCAATCCGCCTTTAGCTGCTTGTAGAATGACTTTTCTAAAATTTAAATCTTGGCTGGGGGATAGACACACTTGAAGCTCTGACTTTGGAGGGGAGGGGTGAAGGCAACACATATAACCTAAACATTTGTACCCCCATAATATGCTGAAATAAAAAAAAATTTAAATCTTGGTCATACCATTCCTCTGCTTAAAATCGTCCAAGTGGTACCTTAGAGGCTACAGCATAAAGCTCAAGAGGCGCCTGTCAAATGCTTGTGGAAGAACTTAAGTCAAATGGTACTTAAGTCAAATGGTACTTCTGTGAAGCTTTTTCCTGACACCCCAATCATTTCCGCCTTTGTTCCCCGTTGCTTTCTCTTGGAGTACCTACAAACATGCTGCTGTTCTTTGTCTGTTCTCCCCAGTAGACTAAACATATCTTTAGAGCTTTGTATCGTATCACCATTCTGCACAAGGCCTGGCATAAATACATAGTTGTATGGTGACTGATTTAAAATTGAACTCATCATCTCTTTGCTTTCCTCCTCATTTTCTGCTTTAAAATGCCTTACCTTTTACAGTTGGCATCACTGTCTTTTCAGTTACCTTGGTCATGTTTAACTCATTTCCTTTTCTAACACTCCCACAAGTAATTGGTTTGTAATCCATTACTAATTAATATTTTCTCTATTCCATTTCCTTAGCTTTGGTTCAGGTTCTCATCTTGTCTTCACCTGACTGCTATAATCACTGTTCAGATGTTCTACTCATCTTTAGGCTTTCCCCCCATTTGTCTTTGATATTGCTGCTGGAATTATTTTTCTTAAATACAGGTGGTTATCTCATGGTTCAGTAAGCTTCTATTTAACTGTAGGAAAAGTCTAACTTCTTTTTTTAATTAGAAAATTTTTAAATTTTTTATTTAGTTATAATTATATATTATAGTATATATTATGCATATTATATGTATTATATACATTATATGTGTATTTAATATACATATTTTAATCAGTTGGAAGTTCAACTTCTTTATAAGTCATTCAGTGGCAGTCTTCACAAACTGATCTAACTTCTTCCTTTTTTTTTTTCTTTTCTTCCTTTATCACAGAAACTATGTACTTTAAGTACTGGGCTTAGCTGACCACATACCCAAGTTCATCCAGTTTAGACTAGTTTTCTTCCCTTTCTCTCCATTACTCTTAGGGGGAGGCAGTGCTATGGAGAAACATGGACACCCAGCCTTAAACCTGCTTCTAACATTTACTGTTGTCCTTGGACAAGCTTCTTAACATACTGTAATATAGTACTGGCACTTAATACATGTTGTCTTCCTCTTTTACCTTGCCCCTCCCCAAACAACAATTGGAAATTATCTCCACTACTACAGAACACTTCACTCTCATGGCATTTAATGTCTTCTGCCTTCCATTGTGTTCACTGGTTTACGTTTTATTGCTCTTCTACAAGTTCACATGCTCACTCAGGGATGATGCTGTGTCTTCTTACACGTACTCCAGTTGATTTTTCAATCTTAGGTGAAAGATTTGCTTTGTCATTTAGTTTCTAAGTGACAGACATGATTGGGAAATGATTTTTTTGGAATCTCTAAATGGTAACCACAAGGACCATTTGTAAAGGCCCAGCCAAAGCAGGCTTTGTAAAAACTCATCTACTTAGTTGGAATTTAAGAGAATGATACAGTTGTCTTAAAGTTACTCTTTAGGAATTTAAGGCTGTAATTTTAGTGTCATTATATTAATACTGAAAATAAAAAGCATTAGTACTGGAATAAATTGTGTTTTTCTTTGCAGCCGGTTGCTGAACCAATTCCCATCTGTAGTTTCTGTCTTGGTACAAAAGAACAAAACCGAGAAAAGAAGCCAGAGGAACTCATCTCCTGTGCCGACTGTGGCAACAGTGGTATGTGACTTCCCTCCGTTTTCCTTCTAGAACATGTTATCAAGGCCAGAGAAAAGTATGTTTAACTGAGTTTGTGTCCTTGATCCTTACGAAATTAATACAGTCGTGTGGCTCTTAATGACAGAGATACACTCTGAGAAATATGCCCATAGAGTGTACTTACATAAACCTAGGTGGTATAAGTTTGTTACTCCTAGGCTATAAACCTGTATAGCATGTTACTGTACTGAATAGGCAGTTAGAACACAATGATAAGTGTTTGTGTAGTTAAATGTATCTAAACATAGAAAGCTACAGTAAAAATACAGTATTATAATCTTATGGGACCACTGTTGTGTATGTGGTCCATTGACTGAAATGTTGTGTGACAGATGACTATATTTTAATTTGATTCTGGTTTTAGGTAACAGAGATGAGCTGCTACCCTAGGGAGGGATTTCAGTGTATAGCTGAAATGTTTAATTCTGTCAATTTAAATCAGGTCTTAGTGGGTTTTTTTTAATAAAAAACTTTTTGTGGGCATATTTTTCCTGTTGATCTTTATATTTCACGATTGAACATCTGCTTAAATCATGGCAATCAGTTTGGAGTTATTGCTGGTTTCTTTAATATTCACTACTTATCTTTCTTGATTTATGCTTTAAGCTTGATGAATAAAAGCAAGATGGTAACAGATGTGTTTTTCTGATGGAAATTTACACGTGTCACATTGGGAAATAGAGTGTTGGCACTGTGGTCTAGTAAGCAGTGTGGAATTCTGAGCCTAGAGAAAGATTTTGCATAGTCTCCTAATTTGCCAATTCCAGAGATATTTTTGTTGTATATTTTAAGAACTCACAAGACCTTACAGAAAGGCCTTAGTAAACCAGCATTATCTTGGCTCATTGGCTTAATTTTCAGTGTTTTGTATTGGTAACAATTAGGATTTAGTCCAGAAAACAGAAACCACACTCAGTCTAGAGGAAAGGAATTAGCACTGGAATTAGGTATTTGTGAAACTGTTGGAAGGATTGAAGAGGCAAGCTCAAGATTGGATTTTAGGGACCAGTGTCTCCTAGGACACTGTAGAACTGACCTGTCAGGAGAGTCACTATGTCTGCCTCCATCTGGAAGAGGTGGAACAGGAGGGAGGCCACGGCAGAACTCTTGAGCACTGTAGCTGAAATGCTGAGTTTGGCCATCATCATAATAGCTATGGCTAGTTGCGAAGGAGAAGAGTAGACACTGTTGTTTCCATGACATTGCTTGTCATTAGAAATCAGTACCTCTCAACTTGTGCCCTATCTATTAAATATATGCCATGTCATTAAATGCTTTTAAATCTTAAAAAAAAAAAAGCAGTCACTTCTAGGAGGAAGATCTTTGTTTCATTTGCCTTTCAAATATCCTTGGAACACAGTTAGTTGGTAGAACTTAATTGATATCTAGAGCCTAGTTGTAAAGGAGTCCAGAAAGTATGGTTTGGAGCTTTTCAGTTTTTATATATTGAAGGCATTAGAAGAAGGTGGAAATAGATCTTGAGTGCTAAGTGATCATATCCAGCATGATATCAAAAACCAAAATGAATTCTGAATGGATTTCACAGTTGCAAATAAACCATAAGAATATAATGGCATGGCATACAATGCAGTGATTTCCAAACTTGCTTAGTAGTGGAACCCTTTCCCCAAATTAAATCTAATAGGAACTTAAATACATAAAACATAAAAATGAATTTGTTTTACAAATGGGGAATAAAATGGGGGGGGAGGTATCATGTTATAGCCCTACCTTCTAAGAAGCATTATGTTTGAGGTGGTGTCTCTCTAAGCTAGGGAAGAGCACAACTTGAAAACTATTACTGTAGAGGTAACTTTTTAAAGAAAGGGTAGCTATAGAAATAAATCACTCTAGAATATAGCAGCTTAAAGCAGTAACAAACATTTTTTTTTTTAAATTTCATGCTGTTTATGTGGGTCAGGAATTTGAGAGTGGCTTCTCTGGGTGGTTTTAACGTGGTATCTTTCACAAGGTTGCAGTCAAGATTTTAACTGGTGCTGCGGTTGTCTGTAGGCTTCCATGATGGCTCTCACTTACCTGGCTGGCAAGTTGATGTTGCTGCCTGTTGACAAGAAGCTTCAGTTCTTTGCCATGTGGACCTCTCCACAGGGCTGCATGAGTGTCTGCTACATGGTAGCTGGCTTCTCTGAGCAAGTGTCCAAGAGAGAGCAAGGTGGAATCTGCAGTATCTTTTAAAACCTAGCCTTAGAAGTCACACTGTGTGGTTTAAACAGTATCCTATTGGTTATGCAGATCAATCCAATTCAGTGTAGGAGGGAGGATGTGACTATCAGGAAGCAAGAATGATCGGAGTGCAGCTTGGAGGTCAGCAGTCACAATAACCAAGGAAGAAAAGCACGGACATAGGCAAATTTATGAATGTTGATATTTTCTGAATTGAAAACTATCATCACAGGTGGGCGCGGTGGCTGTAATCCTAGCACTTTGGGAGGCCGAGGCAGGAGTTCGTTTGAGCTCAGGAGTTCGAGACCAACCTGAGCAAGAGCGAGACCCCGTCTCTACTATAAATACAAAGAAATTAATTGGACAACTAATATATATAGAGAAAAAATGAGCCGGGAATGGTGGCACATGCCTGTAGTCCCAGCTACTCGGGAGGCTGAGGCAGGAGGATTGCTTGAGCCTAGGAGTTTGAGGTTGCTGTGAGCTAGGCTGACGCCACGGCACTCACTCTAGCCTGGGCAACAAAGTGAGACTCTGTCTCAAAAAAAAAAACAAAACTATCATCACATTTTTTCTATGAGGAAAAAAATAAAAAAGCAAACTAACATACCCAAAATAAAAAGAGCAAGAATAATTTAGGAAAAATAATTACATTAAATATGGCAAAGGGCCAAAGGCTATAAAAGTATAAAAAGAACATGTTTTCATTTCTAAGCATAAAGTCCAAAGAGCAGAGTCTATGAACAGGAAATTTATATGAGAGAAAATAAATAGTAGAGCATATAAAAAACATTTTACCCCAGTAATAATAGGAATGCACTCCAAAGCAGCAGTGAAATATCATTTTGCAGCTTTTATAATCATCAAAATTGAAAGTTAACAGAGCCCAAACCTAGAGCTGATGAAATTGTGGTAAAACATTTCTTTTTGCTGGTAGCACTAGATATTGTATCACAGTTTTTGGAAAATGTTTTGGCAGTGCATATCAACCTGTCAAGCTATAAAAAATGTTTAATTCATTTCACTTGCCAATCCCACTTTCAGGAATTTATTCTAAAGAATTAATTTTGGGGCCAGACATGGTGGCTCACGCCTATAATCCTAGCACTCTGAGAGGCCGAGGCGGGCAGATCGCTCTCAAAGTCAGGAGTTTGAAACCAGCCCAAGCAAGAGCAAGACCCCGTCTCTACTAAAAATAGAAATTAATTGGCCAACTAAAAATGTATAGAAAAAAATAGCTGGGCATGGTGGTGCATGTCTGTAGTCCCAGCTACTTGGGAGGCTGAGGCAGAAAGATCGCTTGAGGCCCGGAGTTTGAGGTTGCTGTGAACTAGGCTGATGCCACAGCACTGTAGCCTGGGCAACAGAGTGAGACTCTGTCTCAGGGAAAAAAAAAAATTAATTTAAAAGAAGGAAATAATCTATAAATGAAATAATTCACTTTAGTGTTATCTAACTTACGAGTAATAGTCTAAATATTTAACAGTAGGGAAATGGTCACATAGGTTATAGTGTCTCGAATCAGTGGAAATAATCAATTTAAGGAATATAAACATAAAGTTTACTTAAATAAAATAAATGTAGCAAAGCAAAAATTGTATATATGCTGTGATTAAAACCATGCAAGGGCTATCAGCTAGTCTAAAAAAGAAAAGTAGAACATGAAATTGTCTTATTATTCTAGAATGATGGGATTATAGATGAAATTTTCATAACCTCTTCCATTTTCCTTCAGTGCTAATGATGGTTTGATGATAAACTTACAGTCTTATAAAAGAGAATTCTTTTGGAACAGAAAAGAGAGAAGAAAAGACAATTTAACCAGTCCTTTTTCACATCAAATAAAAATAAACATAGCCAATGTTTGGAGAAGGAGGACAAATCTTTTCAGCGTTGAGTGCAAATTGGCTACCATAAATTTTTGAGAATCAAACTGATATTAACTTTGGAAGAAGAAGCATTTTTTCTGTTGTTGTTAATTGTGAACACAGTAAAAATACTACTTTTGGTTTTAGTTTTAGCTTGAGTGCCTTAAATCAAGACCATATAACTCACTTTAAATGATGAGATTTTTATTATATATAGTAGGCTCCCCCTTATCTGAGGGGAATATGTTCCAAGACCTTCAGCAGATACCTCAGATACAGGGGCACTACTATATTTCAAATTATAAAAGTAACACATTATCGTTTAAAAATGAGAGCACAAAACGATATAAAGTGAAATGTAAAATCCTCTCTTTTAAAATGTTTATAAGTCCATTTTCTAAAAACTTTTTGTGTGTTCTTCCAGAAATGGCCTGGGCATGTTATATATTCACGTACATAGCAGCCTGTGCGTGAACATAATGCTTTGATGCAGGCCTAATAAAAGTTTAAAGTCTGTCAGGTTTTTAATAATCAAATTGGGGATGTGTGTTCTAAATCCTATTTAATAGTCATAAAACTGAATTGGGGCACTAAGTCCCGATGAGACATGAGTGACAGACATCCAGGAGCATCTTGGTTTTTTTGATATATATTTTGTATTTAGGATAATTGCCTTTTCCTACTTTGTTTCTTCACTATGGTAACAAAATGTTTCATTCATGAATTTTTCCCGTCTTATTAGGTCATCCATCCTGTTTAAAGTTTTCCCCCGAACTAACGGTTAGAGTGAAGGCCTTACGGTGGCAGTGCATTGAGTGTAAAACGTGCAGCTCCTGTCGAGATCAAGGCAAAAATGCAGTGAGTATCTTTGCCTTCCAGCGTGAGTCTTTCATTTAGAAGAAGAACGTACAGGTGGCATTTCTATCTAAGCATGACTGGTTATTTTTCAGTCACTTGGTCCAAGAGAATTTATAATAGTAGCTTCTTCAAATTATATGTAATTAGCTTAGAGTACTTGCTTATTTAGACTTTGATTATCTCTAGATAATTTAAAGTACCTTAATGATATATCTGCAGAGATACTATGCTACATTAAGGAAATACTCCTGAAATTTCTTTGAGCAATATGGAGGCATTCATTTAGAATGGTCATTTGGTATGACCATTGTCATACCAAATTGTCCCTTTCTTTTTTGAAAACATACCAAGCTTAGCTTATTTCTGGTTATTGGATTTACTTGAAAGTAGTGCAATTGTAGTTCTTTATGAAAGATTGGATGAAGCACAAGTTTTTGCTAAGTTGTACTATCCGTATACATAGTTAATACAAATGAAAGAAACTTAGATTTATGGTAACTCATATCTTTTTTGAGATTTGAAAGTTCCTAAGTTTTATGAGGTTATAATCCTGACATATTTCTGCTTTTTTTTAAGGATAACATGCTCTTTTGTGATTCGTGTGACCGGGGTTTTCACATGGAATGTTGTGATCCACCACTTACCCGGATGCCAAAAGGTGAGAAATACTTTCTGAAATCAAACTGGGAATATATAGCAATATGTTAGTGAAAATATATTTTATTTACTTTAAAATGAAAGAATAATTGATCTTTCTTTTTTGGGGTTGTATAAGTAGGAAGAGAGCTGTCACCTTAAAAGGTGGGGGTAGTCTTTCTTTTTAGGCATCCTAACATTCTTATATGGTATGGACTTATTATTTTCCTCTGTTTTCAAAATTTAGGCATCCATGAAGGGTGAGGTGGTTCATTTATAAATATTTGCCCATCTCTAGCTATAGGATAAAATGCTTGCCTTATGTAATATCTCGAAATATCGCTTTCTTTAAAGGGGGAAATGAAATTGTATTAGGTCACATTGATTATATCACTGCTTAGCACTTTTGAGGGACCTAGAACTGTAGAAATATGTTTATTCAGAACTTTAACAAAATTTTATAATATAAGTTTTGAACAAATAAGTATCCAATCATAAGGGTACAGCTTAATTTTATTCTGTTCTTTTGACTCTTGTGCATTGAAAGGTATTTAGTTGAGTTATAATTGCCTTTTGGTTAGATTTCCATGGAATACCCATCTTATTGCATACTGATAGTTTCTTTTTTAAAAAGTTGAGTTAGTCACTCCTGTTTTGTCCTATCATAAATTCCATTTCAACTCTGATTTTGTGATTATAGGTTTTTTAAGTAAAATGCCTATTGGATATTTGATAATGTCTGTTTGGAGAAAGTTTTCCTGTTGATGGAAAAGGATTCAGCCATAGGTTGTAGCCAAGTTATCCACTTTAGGATTTTACTAGAATTACTGTTATGCCATTTATTGATTATTACCTTTTGAAAAGTCTTAAATTTATATGTATTAGAAGAATAAATAACCACCTTTCCCTATTTTTTCCATTTATTTCAAGTCTGGACAAGAGGCCTTCTGAGAATCCTTCAAGATAAGAAAGATTTTCTTAGGATTGCTTTCCTGTGTATTTAACTTCTACAAAAGAGATTTTATAGCAGCTTATAGCAGGAAACATTTTATTTTGCGATTATTTCAGACTTATAGAAAAATGGCAAAAATAGTGCAGAGAACTCTCATTATGTCTTTTCACCCTGCTTCCCTAATGGTGTCATCTTACAAAAACCATTGTGCCATTACCAGGAAATTCATGTTGATATGATATGATTAACTAACTATAGACCTTACTTGAATTTCTGGTCCAGGATCCAGTCCGAGATCTCACATTACATTTAGTTGTCATATTTCCTTAGTCTCCTCCAGTCTGTTATAATTCCTCAACCTTTGTCTTTCTTTGTCTTTTCACTTTAGAAGAGTGCCCGTTAATATTTTGTAGAAAGCTCTTTGAATTGGGTTTGTTTGTTGGCTTTCTCATAATTAGATTGACATTATGAATTTTGGCAAGAATACCACAGAAGTGCTATTGTGCCCTTCTCAGGGCATCATAACAGGTATATAATAGTGTTGTATCTTATTACTAGTAATGTTAACTTTGATCTCTTGATTACAGTTAAGAAACCTGACAGCCACCTTAAAGTTACTCTTTTTCCCCCTTGACCAGTAACTTTACCATCTGTTAATGATTCTTGCCTGCACCAATTATTAAATGTTTTTGCATAGTTTGTATACTTTCATTATTCTTTGTACATTTATTAATTGGAATTCTGCTATGAGGAAGAGCTGTTTGTTTCTCCTATTTAATCATTGAATTACCTATATCATTATGAACATTCTATAATTTATAATCTATTGCTGTGATTGTTTTTTTTTTTTTGCCCAAATTGTGCTAGGTTTGGCTATTGGGAGCTCCTTCAAGACCTGTGTCCTTTTGACATGCCTCTAATCATTTTTTGAGCACGTCTTTATTTTCTGCCGCTACAAGATGTTTCAGGTCATCCTTTGTTTTCTCTTCCCTCACCTGGTTTCCCTCACCTGGTTTCTGTGGAAACCTGGCTTTTTTTTTTTTTGAAGGTGGTAATTACACAGCCATATCTGGGTGCTGGGTGTAGCTCAGGGGTTTCTAACTGGGCATCAGTGGACTTCATCCATGCACGGGCTTCAAGGTGCATGTGAATCCCTTCCAATTATCTGTAAAATTTTGTGTGTGTGTGTTTTCATGTTTATGAGGAGGAAGGTTTTTTATCAGGTTTTCAAATGACAGTTCTTTATCTGAAAGAGGTTAAGATCCTGACTTAGCCTATCCAAAATCTTTCGGTGTATTTATGTCTATCATACTTTTATGTGGAATTTTATTTTTTTATAGGCATGTGGATATGTCAAATATGTCGACCTAGGAAAAAAGGACGAAAACTTCTACAAAAGAAGGCAGCACAGATAAAACGGCGCTATGCTAATCCAATAGGACGTCCAAAAAACAGGTTAAAGAAACAAAACACGGTGTAAGTTGTACTTGTGGCAAGGTGAGGGGAGAAAAGGATAGGGTCTTCTCTATAGAGTAGGGTTCATTTGTTTTCTTTATGAAAAAAAATATTTTCCATTGTTGTAACTGGCACTTTCTTAATAATAATAAGGGCTAACACTTATTGCACCCTTAATAAAGTGCCAGGAACTGTTCTAAGTGCTTTACATGCATTAAATTGTTTAATTCTCCCAACAATCCAATGAAGTGTAGGTACTATTGTTACTTCTGTTTTTCAAAGGAGGAAGGAAACTAAGGCATAGAGAGATTAAATTTCACGAGGTTATGTAGTAAGTTTTAAAATACGGTTAAAATCTATGTAGTCTGGCACCAAAGTCTGACTCCTAACCATTATATCGCTTCTTTTATATTAAAAACAGGAAAAAAATTTTCTGTTACCATAGCATTTCAGAGGTTCTGAGATGTTTATGTCTGTTAGGTATACAAACCACTGGGTTGGTTCTTCCTCTTGAGATGATAGCTAAGTCCCATTTTTGTGTTCTCTTAACGTAAAATAATTTGCAGAAATCAGAAATTATGGACTAGGAAACTGGGCTTTGTCTGCAGGAGGTAGGGCAAGATTCAGTAGCTAATTCTGTCTTTTTTTCAATATCATTATAGTAATTCACCTTTGATAATAGGTAAAATATATTCAGGCTTTTCAACCTCTTCTCACCCACCTTTTTTATACTTAAGACTATCTTGTAGGTTATATAACTGAAATGAAAGAGCCATTAGCAGCCTGAAATATGCAGAGCTAGTATATTGTAGTCTATATTTTCAATATTAAATCAAGCTGTAATTTTCCTATAAAAGGATCTTTTGATTCCTGGCTTTCAGAGATTAACCCATCCTTGTGTTTAGAGGTTAAAGTATAACTCTGAGTTGGTACAGAGATCACAGTATTATAACTTATACCTCGAAGGGCCTTAGTTGTTCTCTGGTGCAGCTCTCATTTTACAGATGAAAAGGCTGATGTTTAGAGAAAATGTGATTTGTTCAAGAGGTACAGCTAGTAAGTGGTAGAATTATGACTTGAGCTTGTCTTCTGACCCCTGGTTCACTGTAAATAACTAGGCTTCCCGGAAATATATATATCTAATAACAATATTACTTCTCATTCATATAGTACTGTTTATAGTTTACAGAACATTCTTAACAATATAGTTTTTTTTTTGTAAATCTATAGGCTGTTTACTAATTATATGTTACATATTAACATAACCTTATAAAGATTTCTTTTTAATAGTTACCTTTTTTCCCTGTTTAATTCTTCAGATCAAAAGGTCCCTTCAGCAAAGTTCGAACTGGCCCTGGAAGGGGTCGCAAACGTAAAATCACTCTCTCCAGCCAGTCGGCATCATCGTCATCAGAAGAAGGATATTTAGAGCGAATAGATGGCTTGGACTTCTGCAGAGATAGCAGTGTCCCCTTGAAATTCAACAAGAAAACCAAAGGGCTCATTGATGGCCTTACCAAATTCTTCACCCCTTCCCCTGATGGGCGGAAACCTCGAGGGGAAGTGGTGGACTACTCTGAGCAATACAGAATCAGGAAAAAGGGCAACAGAAAATCAAGCACTTCAGATTGGCCCACAGGTAAAAATTTGAAACAAACTTGGAAACAGAAAGTATTCCATAAGTTATTCCGTAAGTTATTTTGGAATAACACTGATTATCTAGAATAGATATATTTTATTATAAAAATTGATTATGAAATATAAGAACATATTAAAAATACACATTTAGGTGATACTAACATAATAACTGTGTCAGGAATTTAGATGAAATTGCAGAATGGATCAGTAGGAGCTCTTGGGCAAAAGGAAGTTGCATTTTTGGTAGAACTACAAAGAATATACCTATAGAAATTTGAGATATAACCTTGAATCAGGATAATTTTACATTTCATAAATTTCTAAGTAAATCATGTGATGAGTATCATGATGCTTGTTTTATTCCCAGAAAGAAATTGAAAAGAGTAGAGGTGAGTAAAATGCTATTGTTCTAAATTAAACATAAAGACCAAAATATATGCAAATGTGATAAGGTCGTTGATTTTTCTATTTCAAATCTTGGCAGATATAGTTTTAAGTTTTCATGGATTATACTTAAAAAAGAGAACCACAGCCCCAGACTATTTGTTTATGTATCACCCTGAGTTCCCTAGTTTTCAAATGGTCTGTTACAGGAGAGAAAGTCCTCCTCATTGTCAGATTCCCTTTTTATGCTCTATTGATTGACTTTTTAGCAGGGGCAACCAGCTAATTACTCTTTAAGCATTTAAGACTTTTCATGTCTTCATCAGCCGTGTAGACCTTAAACTCCAGTCTGAGAGTGTTTATCTAAGAAACATTCTAAGAAAATACACAATCCATTTAGATTGGACTTGGAAAGAATCTTAAAGCAAACCCTAATGAAAGACATTTTTGAATTAACCATTTGCAGTGGAGATGGTTTATTAGAAGAGTCTACTAGAAAGTTTTAGAAATAGAAATAGAGCAAATGTATAAAGTATATGGAGAAGAGAACCAATATGGAGCTTTAGGCATTGGCCTCTAAGCTCTGTCATCTTCTGTAAAGTTTAAGGAACAATTTTGCATCTTCTGATGCAGGGCTGTCTAGCGCTGTATTAGATCTGTGCCTGCATCCATCTGTGTCGTGCACTAGGGGGCGTTAAAGTCACTTACTACCTTTAGATTGTACTTTTTTTTTCAGTTTGACAATGTTGTTACCAGTGAGCCCTTGTCCTTTTTCTTCTTGTATTAAATGTGTAACAGCCTGTATGTGCAGTTGATTTGAAAAGAACTGTCGCCTACTGGTCTTTTTATCTGTACTCATACAAAGAGGAAATGAGGCCACAGCATTGTCGTCCTCAAATACAAAGAATAATGATCTGCATAATTTTCAAATATTCCCTTCACTAGTTTTTTTTTCTGAGTTGAGGAAGATCCATCATTTAGTGGATAATTATCATTAATTTCTCATACTTAACCAGAGGATCTGTGATCCTCATCTGTTGTAATTCTCAGGTTTGTGGAGTTTGTGCTTTAAAAGGGCACCCAGGTCGGTGTGGTGGCTCACGCTTGTAATCCTAGCACTTTGGGAGATGGAGGCAGGAGGATTGCTCGAGCTCAGGAGTTCAAGACCAGCCTGGGCAAGATAATGAGACCCCTGTCTTTACAAAAGATGGAAAAAATTAGCCGGGTGTGTTGGCACACACCTGTAGTCCAGCTGCTTGGGAGCATGAGGTAGGAAGATCACTTGAGCCTAGGAGTTTGAGGCTGCAGTGAGCTATGATTGCACCACTGCATTCCAGCTTGGGCAACAGAGGGGAGACCTTGTCTCAAGAAAATAAAAATAAATAAAAGGGCACCCAGAATGTGATGGGAGTTAGTACTTCCTAACATAAGGTAGCTACTTCAAAGATTATCTTTTTAAACCTTGATGTGTTTAAACTCATACTAAAAGTGTCATACTATTTCAAAATAAATTTATACCCTTTATACCCTTCTCCTATTCTGCCTTTGTGTCTATTAAAATATTTCTTTTAATGAAGTTTACATTTAGTTATGCGATATTTTTAGGAAACTTTAAGACAGTTCAGGATTTTTACTATAAGGCAGTTATATAAATATTCTTTATTGAATAGTATCCATGTAGGAGTCAATTTAGTGCTATCCTCTTCTCTGTTTATAAATAATATTAAGGTTTTTAAATGGAAATAAAGACTTCTGAAATTTTTTCTAGTCCATGTATTAAACTGAGGATAGTACAGATAACATGTGAGTGAGCCTTTTCTTTATATGCAGACAATCAGGATGGCTGGGATGGCAAACAAGAAAGTGAGGAGCGGCTCTTTGGGAGCCAGGAAATCATGACTGAAAAAGATATGGAATTATTTCGTGATATCCAAGAACAAGCACTGCAGGTAAAGTTGGATATTCGGGTTGGGCAATCAAGCAACTTATTTCTGGATGAGAAACAGGATGACATTGTAGGTAAAGCAGCAACTTGTCTATCTAATCTAGAATATTTGTGGTTAGTGTGTATATAGTTTTGCTGGTTATAATATTTTCAAACCCAAGATAACTGCTTTGGTTTTGCAGATAAGCACATTGCATTGATTACCAGTATTAAACGAGCTTGGAGTATTTATTTTCTGTCTTATTTTATGAAGAAGAGTTTGGTATTTGACCAAAAAACCAAGCTTCTCAAGAGTGATGAAGCACCCATTCATTAATTGAAGGCATACTTGTTAAACACTTCTGCTTTGATCCTTTGTGACACATGGCAAGATATAAATGTATAGACAAAATATAAATGTATAGAATCTGCATAAGTGCCAGATGCCAACATGAATGACAGAATTCTTTCCCTTAAATGTAGTTTAGGAGAGATGTGTAAATAAATAATATTAATTTGAAAAGTTCAATTATAAAATACATTGTGTTTTGGAAGAGTAGGGAAGCAGGCATCTACCTCTGCCTGGGACGTCACAGGAGGATTCATTGAGGAGTCTTAAAGGACATGTAGAAGTTTATCAGGCTGATGGGGTAGGGTCCTGTATCATCCAGAGAAATAGAGTGAAGATGGAACAGACTTGGATGAGAAAGTATGCTCAATTGTGGGAATTAAAATGACTTAGGATAAAGAACACAGGGTGTAGAGAATGGCAAGCCATGAGGTTAGAAAAGTCTGTAGGGTCTAGATCATAAAGGCTCTTTGCAACCAACCAGTTTATCATGTAAGCCAAGTTGAGTTCTCAATCTCTTATCTTGAAAGAAAGAATTTATAAGGTTAATATTGGAGATTCTAGTTGTGTAGGTAAAACTCTTTGGATTAAGAGACACATTGGTGAATAGATTGTTTATGTCTGTTTAAGACAGTTTTGAAAATAAAATATATATATATATGTTTTTTATTTTGGCATATTATGGGGTACAGATTTTAAGTTTCAATAAATGCCATTTCCCCTCCCCCCAAAAGTCTGAGTCTCCATCATGACCATCCCCCAGAGGTGCACATCTCACTCATTATGTATGTATATACCCGCCCTCCCCCTCCCACCGCCCAATACCCTATTACTGTAGCACCTATGTGTCTACTTAGGTGCTACTCAGTTAATACCAGTTTGCTGGAGAATATATCTGGTGCTTGTTTTTCCATTCTTGGGATACTTCACTTAGTAGTATGGGTTCCAGCTCTAACCAGGAAAGTATAAGATGTGCTATATCACCATTGTTTCTTAGAGCTGAATAGTACTCCATGGTATACATATACCACATTTTATTAATCCATTCTTGGATTGATGGGCACTTGGGCTGTTTCCACAGCCTTGCAATTATGAATTGTGCTGCTATAAACATTCGAGTGCAGGTGTCTTTTTTGTAGAGTGTCACTGGATCATTTGGGTAGATGCCCAGCAATGGGATTGCTGGATCAAATGGTAGATTCACTTGTATCACTTTAAGGTATCTCCATATTGCTTTCCACAGAGGTTGAACTAGTTTGCAATAAAAAATATATTTATAAGTACTCAGCAAGAATTTACTCAGCTTTCCACCATATTATGATTTAATAAAATATTGGCTTTCAGTCAGATAGACCTGGGTTCAAATCTTGGTGTGTCAGTTACTACCTTCTATTTTAGGCAAGTTGCTTAATCTCCCAAGGCCTGTTTTCTTTCCTACTAATAAATAAAGTATTATAGATACTGTAGTAGAAATCTATATGAAGTTCATTGAGAACTCTAAGGGGGGCATAGTTATGTTCTTCCTGACTGGAAGAACTGGTGTTTTTCCTAAGTAAGTTGCAGACATAATGCTAATATCCCTTTACTCCTAATTATTTATGTGTATTTCCTAAAACAAAGATGTTCTCGTACATGACCATGATCTAATCATCAGATCAGGACTTTAACACATAAAGTGCTATTGTCTAATTTAGTTGTCATGTCTCTGTAGTTTCCTCCTAACCTGGAACAGTTCCTTAGGCTGGGCATGGTGGCTCACACTTGTAATCCAGTTACTTTGGGAGGCCAAGGAGGGAAGATTGCTTAAGGCCAGGAGTTCAAGATGAGTCTGAGCAAGAGTGAGACCCTGTCTCTACCAAAAAAAAATATATTAAAATTTAGTTGTCATGGTGGCATGTACCTGTAGTCCAAGCTGCTTGGGAGGTTGAGGCAGGAAGATTACTTGAGCCCAGGAGTTTGGAGCTTGTAGTGAGCCATGATCCCACCTCTGCATTCTAGCCTGGGCAACAGAGGAAGACCCTGTCTTAAGGAAAAAAAAAAAAAAAAGAACGGTTCCTTAGTCTTTATCTTTCATGACCATGACAGTTTTTATTCCATAGAATGTCCATCACTTGAGCTTGTTTTATTTTTCATCCTGATTAGAAAGTACCACAGAGGTGATATGTCCTCCTCAGTACATCATACCAGAAGGCATGCAGTATCTATTTGTTTCATTACAGGTGATGCTAACTTTGATTACTTGGTTAAGGTGATGCTCTGCCTTGTTTCTTCTCTGTGTAAATGATTATTTTCTACCTATAGTTAAGTATCTTGTGAGGACATACTTTGAGATAAATATGCAAATACCCTGTTTCTCATCAAACTTTTACCTACTAGGTGTAGCATTTAGAGAAGATTCTGAAATATTTACTTTTTTGGTCACCAAACATGATTTTCTAATTTTACTATTTCTTTTATATTTATTGATTGATACTCTAAGAAAGAACTATTTCTTCTTCACACTTATTTTTTTGATTGTTTAGACTCATAGATTCTTATTTTATGGGTTATAATCAGTTGCTATTAGTATTTATTTGGATGCTTAAATTGACTCAAATTTGGGCAGGAGGGAGCTTCTTTAAGCTGGCTCCTGTGTCCTTTCTGCATGTCTCCATCATTTTATTTACTTCTGGACACAGCCAGATATTCCAGGCTCTTGTTCTAGCCATAGATCCCTGGCTCCTTTTAGAGGAGAATGGGAGTAAATGCTAGTTCTATCGTTATACTTCCTTAGAAGGCCCGAATAGGTGTTATCCTTATTTTCTCTCTCTGTCATATTCCACAATCAGTTCAGCAGCAAATCCTAATAGTTCTGCCTGTAGAATATGTCTAGTTCTTACCTGCTTCTAAGCTATAGGCATCTTTGGCTTGGGCTTTTGTGATAGAATCCTGACTACTCTCCTTACTTCTGCTTCTGCTCCCCTCCCCAGTCTCTACCCAGGGGCCAGAGTAATTATTTTCAAATTTAAGTTGCATCATGTCACTCCTTTGCACAGAAAATCTGTCTTTCAGTCTTGCTTGGCATTTTTAAAAACTCAGAGCCTTTATTCTCCCCTCCAAGGCTCCATGTGATCTTGTGTCGCCTCCTGTTTGGCTGCTCTAGTTTCACTCTTGCCCTTACCACTCTGCGCCAGCCTCAGCCACCTCTTCCTTAGACACACTCAGCGCACCTGCCTGGAGCCTGCATTTACTGTGCCTCTGGGTTGCCCAGCACCAACAAAAGACAGATGATAAAAGAGTTAATGTTGGAATCCATCCACCCAGCAGCACATCATTTATTGAGTGACTATAGTGTTCCTAACTGCTAGTGTAGGGGCTATCAGGGAGACTTGGTTTCTATTCCCTCAGACCTTACAGTCTAGAAGCAAGCTTAACTCAAAAAAGCAAATCCAGCATTTGCTCATAGTGATTATCTTGAGTAGTTAAACTTTGTGTAGAACATTAAGTCAAGAATTATTGAAATGTTTACCAGGATTTTTTTCAAAAAAGGTCAGTCATTGATTTTTATTATTTTTTTAACACTATTGCAGGCAGTAGGTGAAGTAGGGATATAGTTCACCTAGTACTGTGTTCTATCATTGGCTATACAATGTGCACTTCCATAAAGAAGAGCTGCCTCTGAAAACTGGAAGCATGAAAAAATTAATAGTATAGATTTTTGTTCTAGAATTTTATTTCAACTATGATTGTATAAGCTTGAAGGAAATGATTTTTCCTAAAAGATCTATCAGCAGAAAGAAGCATTTGTATTCAACTCATTCCATTGAAACATAAATAGCCTTCTTGAAATATATAGGATGATTTTTACTTAAAATTTCACCAAGGAAAACATTATATTTTTATGCTAATTTTAATGCTTTCTGATTTTGAAGGATTCCTTTGGTTTTGTGTGGTTCTAAAAAAGTTACAGAGCATTTTTGAAATCTGTGTGTGCTATTAAAATATTTTGCTGCCTTGCATAAAGAGTTAGTTATTAAAATAGAGTAAACTAGGTTTACTTTTATTAAAATAGAGTAAACTAGGTTTACAGCTAACTTGCAAAACCCTCCAAAATCCAGCTCTATACTGGTAATGATAACTTTATTAACTCTATGAGGTAGGGATTCTTATCCTCTCTTTACATATGAGGAAATTGATACTTTTAGTTGAGTGACTTCCCCTAAGTTATATAACTAGTAATAGCAGAACTGGAATTAAAACTTAGGCCTATGTGACTTCAAATTCTGTGCCCTTAATCATAGTAACATCCAGCATTACCCTGTAAAAATGTTACGGAGGCAGCAAAATCATTAGGCATGTACTAGGTACAAACAGGTAAAGGTGCCTAGGAAGATAAACAGCAAACTGTGGTGCAGAGCACGCAGTAAGCATCCTTCATGGCTATGTTCGATGATACAGACTCTTCCATGTGGTCACAGATGTTCATGGTATGCTGTGGCAAGAATTTGTGTGATCACAAAGTGGTCACAAAAGAAGCAGGGCTAAAGATTGGTCACATTTAGGTAAACTGAGAGGATTAGGGCTTACCAGTTAGAGTATCAGCTTTAAGGCAGAAATGACTGCTTTACCATCTTCCTCCTTTATTCACTGGGGATACATTCTGAGATCCCCAGTGGACGTCTGAAATCATAGATAAT